ATGAACCTCAGGTGTCATAATCTGTTGTTTTGTCCAGTGAAGGTGCAGTCTATGTTGATGAGAGGTGCACGGCTAGCGTATGGGTCTGAAGCAAGCTCTGGAGTTAGGGAGTGCTGTCTTGGGCTGCTGCTGCAGCTCAAGTTGTCTGTAAATATTTCTTTAGGAACTGGTCACCTTTGAAGCATTACTTAGCAGGCCATGCCTGTGTATGAGTGCAGATCCTAGGAAACAGCTGAAGATGAGAGCTGCTTGTTTCAAAATACCTTTGCTTTCAGCATGGCGTTCTTCCTGTCTGTCGGTTTTTATATTTCCCACACCTGCTTCCACCTTGCTTGCCCTGGGTCCTTTCCCTTCCCCTCGCCTCCCCCCCGCCACACATTTATGCCCTGAGAACTCACTGGTTTTAAGAGCCAAATGTGTATGATGCTCTCCCTTTCTGGGAGGGCATTTTCTGTGCTGCTCCTTGCACCCAGCTTTCAGCTGAATAGATTTATATCTACCTCATTTCAGACCCTCTGACAAAGTGCCTCCCTGTTCTCTACATCAGACTGAACATCAGTGGAAATGGGAAAGCTCTTTGTTTTTAAAAATTTTGACTTCTTGCCAATTATTTGTGTACCCATCCTTGCAGATAGCAAGTGTTTCTTGCATTGTCCCCAGGCTCTTGGAAAACCTTACCCACTTTCTCTGGATCTCTGTCCTTTGGTTAAAAGTTCACGCCCATATTTAAATGTCATCCCTTTCGTAGCCAAATGCTCACCCCTTTTTTAAGAACGTCCCAAGTCTGTGCATTGTCTTACTCAAGGGAAGGTGAATTTCTTCTCTCTACTGACTGTGGTAAGGAGGTGTCTGGACCCTGGGCATCCTTAAACTGCCTTGTGGTTCAGCCTCCTGGAAAGCCCCACACCCTGTAGGCTCAAGCCATTCTACAAGTCTTAAAATGGAAAGAGGGACTTTGGCATTTTTCTTTTTCTGCCCAAAGCAAGTCGTGATGTGGTGTCATGGGGCAGAGGCCTGAATTGCTGCAATGCCTGTAATGCTGGAGAGCACTTTACTAGAATAAGACGGTGGTTTTCAAACAGGTTACATGGGTCCTAATGTTACTAACGGTGGTGGAGCTTCTAATTGGTCAGTGCGCAGTGAGTAATGGTATTGCGTTGACGTTGGCGTCAACACTCTTCCTAAGGAGTGAACATGCTTAAATGCCTAGAGTGTAGGGGGAACCAGCAGTAATATTTTGCATGTAAATGGATGCACTGCCAAAAACATTTGAAAAGCATTGGAACACAGGAAGTAGTACTAGCCCTAAGGCTACTCTAACTCCTGTATTCCACTGTAGGGTTTTAAGCTGGAGACTTCCCCAGATCTTCCTCCCGTGACTGGCTGTCAGAAGGGTGAAGGATTGGTGTTGATAGCTGCTCTGGAGACAGGGGCCAGCATGACCTCCTAAAGCAGTAGTTTAGGAAGCAGGCCTGTCCCTGAGTCTGAGTGCCGGCCCGGCAAGTGGTGCAGGTACTGGCATGCCAGGTTCATGTGGCTCTGGAGTCCCTTCCCTGCCACGCTTTGCACAGGCAGCAGTTCTCAACTCTGGGCCATGGGCAGGCAGTGCTCAGGCCAGGCAGGTGTTGGCTGCTCCTGCTGCTACAGTCTGGCTGACAGATGTGAGGTGTAAAGCCATGCTCTGACTGCTGTGAGAGCACCTGTCAACCCCATATCCCTGCTGTTGGCATGGCAGATAGGGACAGGTGTGATGTTGCCTGTCACTCTCCCAGTGCCGTGAGCTCAGCCAGGCTGTCTGTCCTCCAGCACTGGGGCTTTGAGGGCAGCTGCCTGGACTGCTAGGGGAGGATGTCGGCAGCAAGGGTGGCTGTGATAGGCCAGGCAGGGCAAGGGCAGGGGGCTGCCCAGCAGGAGAGGAGCATCCCCGTCACCCCTCGCGGAGGTACCTGGAGTAGCCAAAGGAGCTGAGCATGCTCGAGGGGCCCCACAGGAGCCAGGCCCAGGTAGAGCAGCCCTGCAAGGTGGCATGTGGGGGGTGCGAGGGTCCTCCTAATGCCCACCCCCATGCACCTGCCCCTGCCCCATCCTTGGCAGGCCCCAGACCATTGGGGAGGGGAGGGGAGGGGAGGGGGAGGGCCTTGGCTCTATCGCTCGGAACTCCCCTGCTTCCGCCTGTCCAGGCGAACGAC